TTTACCCCACATAGGTTGTTCCACCTAGATTGTACCACATAGATCCCACCACGTAGATGACGCAATGTACATTCCACACCATATATATATATATATACTGCACCATATCGATTGCACAATAAACATTGCAATACATACATTGTCCCACACCTATTGCACGACATATGTTGTACAGTGTAGACTACACCACATGTGCTGTAGAGCATAGATAGCACCGCATGCATTGCTCCATCTAGTTTGCACAAAATCTATTGCACCACATATATTGCACAACCCATATTGCTCACAATAGGTTGCACAACATATTTGTACACTATACTTTGTACAACGTATACCAAACCACAGATATTGCACCACCCATCTTGGTTGCTCCACATCGATTTTACATACTATGTCTATAAACATGTGCATGCACGTATGCATGTATGTATGTATGCATACATGCATGCATGTATGTATGTATGCATGTATGCATGCATGTGTGCATACATACATACATACATACATACATACATACATACATACATACATACATACATACATACATACATACATACATACATACATACATACCTACATACATACATATGTATGTATGTATGTATGTATGTATGTATGTACGTATGTATGTATGTATGTATGTATGTATGTATGTATGTATGTATGTATGTATGTATGTGTGTGTATGCATGTATATATGTATGTATGTATGTATGTATGTATGTATGTATGCATGAATGTATGCATGTATGTATGCATGCATGTATGCATGTATGTATGTATGCGAGTATGCATGTATGCACCCATGTATGTATGAAAGCATGCATGTATGTCTATATACATATGTGCGCGTGCATGTGCACATACATGTACGTACATGTACACTGCATAGATTGCACCACATGGATTGCACCACATACATTGCACCACCTGTACTGCACACCATGCATTGCTCCATGTAGATTGGAAAGCAATTTATTGCACCACATCTGTTGCCCAACACATACTACTATAAGCACACTCTTTGGGCCCACGCTGGCTGACATTTGCTCCTCCAAGGCTATTGCGAAGGGCATCGTGGCGTACTATCAGAAGTACATCGATGAGGCCTCCAAGAAGGAGATCAAGGATGTCCTCATGGCCTACGACCGCTCGCTGATCGTGGCGGACCCGCGCCGCTGCGAGCCGAAGAAGTTCGGCGGCCGCTCGGCGCGCTCGCGCTTCCAGAAGTCCTACCGCTGAGAGTTGCCCGTGCGACGGGGCGGAGGAGTCGGAGGGCACCAACTGTACACCTCCTCCTCCTCCTCCGATCCGATGCGATTCGACCTCGATGGCTTCCGATTCCGACCTCGACTCGACTTCGGATTCCGCTCCTGGGCTCCCCGACCCTGGCCTGCCGATCCTGGGCCACGGGGGCTCGGTGGACGGTGCCTCCTGGCCGAGCCACGGACGGCGTGTGCACCGGCTCCGTGGCGTGGGACGTGCCCAGCCATGATCGGCGGAGGAGGAGGAGGTGGAGGAGGAGGAGGAGGAGGAGGAGGAGGAGGAGGAGGAGGAGGAGGAGGAGGAGGAGGAGGAGGAGGAGGAGGAGGAGTGGGTGTGCAGTTGGGGATTTGTTCGGACCCGGGGGGCCCTCTGGGCCTCGGGACCGTAAAAAACGATTCAGGACGAAGAACCGGTCCCGGGGAAAGGGTCGGGACTTCCCAGGGACGCCGTCCTGAAAAAAAAAATCAGGACGTCGCATGTTTGGGATTTATTTTCGGCGACATTTCCTTTGATCAAGGCGGACGGGGTCGCGCGCGAGGTTGTGTTCGTGATAGCTTCCCTCCTGTGGTGTCCCCTCGTTGTCCTGCTGCTCTGGCCCCTTTGCGGAGGGCGGGCGGCGGGGCGGGAAGCAGGGGCAGGGCAGGGGGGGAGCGGAGGGAGGCGGAGGAGCTGAGGGGGCGGAGGGCAGCCGAAGGGGGTGGGCGTGGCGGCGCGGGAGGCAGGGGCAGGGTGGAGCGGAGCGGATGGGGAGCGGAGGAGGTGGGGTGCAGGCCAGGCGCAGAGCCCTCAGTGGTGCAAGCAGCCGAGCCTCGATGAAGCACAAGACCGTACTGGAAGCGAGGCAAGCAGAGAGAAAGAGAGAGAGAGAGAACAGAAAAAGACAACAAACACACACACACAAACAAATGGGAGATAATGATATTGATACTGATGATGATGATGATGATAACGACAATGATAATGACAAGAGGAATAACAATGAGAAGTCGAATGATAATGATGATGATAATGACGGAGCGAGAGAGGCAGAAAGAAAGAGAGAGAGGAGAAACAAAATATAAGATGAGAGAGAACAAGAGAGAGAGAGAGAGAGACTATCCCGCCCTCCACCCGATGATGATTAGATGATGCCCAGAGTGGGGGAGATGGGGGAGGGGATGGAGGAGGGGGGGGGGACAGGGCGGCAGAGGGACGGGAGCAGGGGGAGGTGGAGCGGAGGGAAGGCACAGGGGAGGCGGAGGTGCAGTAGACCCTCTTTCGCCCCCTGCTCCTCCCCCGCCTCCTCACCCATACCCTCATGAGCCGCCTGCGTTGTCCTCCTTCCCCTCCCTCCTCCTCCTCCTCCTTCTCCCTCCTTCTCGGGAGGCGACGGGAACACGGACTCGGGCGAGCCGGGCGCGAGTGCGCTGATGACCGCGCCAGATGCGCAGTGGCAGCGGATAACAAGAGCCACGCGTTACCGTCGTCGTCGTCATTGTCGTCGCCGGCGTCGTCGTTGCCGTTGCCGCCGTTGGCGTCGTCGTCATCCGTGGGCGGGGGTGACGAGGAGCAGAAGGAGCAGGACGGGCAGGCCGGAACCATCGCGAGGCCAGGCGCTCCTCGTGGCTGTGGTTGAGATCATTGGATGTTGTCCCCCTGGGTACGCTCGATGGCCGAGTCCGCGACCACCCTGTCCGAAGCGGAGTCAGCTAGAGTCCGGTAGCCGCGGCCGCCCCCGCGACCGGGCGTTGCGTAACGGGGGGGGCGATATTGGGAGTCCCATGGACATACACCAGCACCCTCATCCTCTCTCTTCCCCTTCTCCAGCATCCTCTGCTCCTCCTCGTTCCTGGGAGGGGGAAGGGGGGCGGGAGGCGGTGGTGGTGTACAGTCTTGGACCCCGTAGATCAAATGGAGGGGGTGAGGGAAGGTGCACCTCGTGTGCCCCCCGAAAAGGGGCCCCCCTGGGGTCCTAAAGGGGCACGGCAGGTGCCCGTTCTCCCCCCCTCTGACCCCCCATGGGGTCCCCCCGTGAAGCAACGCCCGACGCGAAGAGCACGAGCGCAGCTATGGCCGAGGGCCCGAAGGCGGAGAAGGTGCAGTGCTTCGGGCGCAAGAAGACGGCCGTGGCGGTGGCGCTGGTGCGTACGGCGAAGGACGGGGGACGTCCGCCGACCGCCTCCCCTCGGCGGCGCGCCAGGGGGGAGCAGGCAGTTCGGGTTCGAGGCTCGATATTCGAGATGCTTTTTCGAGGTGTGTATTTTTTTGGGAGGAGGAGGAGGAGGAGGAGGAGGAGGAGGAGGAGGAGGAGGAGGAGGAGGAGGAGGAGGGGAGGAGGAGGAGGAGGGGAGGAGGAGGAGGAGGAGGAGGAGGAGGAGGAGGAGGAGGAGGAGGAGGAGGAGGAGGAGGAGGAGGGGAGGAGGAGGAGGAGGAGGAGGAGGAGGAGGAGGAGGAGGAGGAGGAGGAGAGGAGGAGGAGGAGGAGGAGGGAGGAGGAGGAGGAGGAGGGGAGGAGGAGGAGGAGGAGGAGGAGGAGGAGGAGGAGGAGGAGGAGGAGGGGAGGAGGGAGGAGGCGGAGGAGGAGGAGGAGGAGGAGGAGGAGGAGGAAGAGGAGGATGCTGATGATGATGAGGAGGAGGGGGAGGAGGAGGGGGAGGAGGACGAGAAGGAGGAGGAGGAGGAGGAGGAGGAGGAGGAGGAATAATATGAATACTATCAACAAATCATATCAGCCAGCGTTGACTCCAAATATGTCGGAGGACAGGAGGAGGACGAGAGGAGGAGTAGCAGGAGGGAGAAGAGGAGGAGGAGGAGGAGTAGGAGGAGCGGGAAAAGGAGGAGGATGACGGAGTGGCCAGCTGACGTTCCCTGGAAGGAGGGATCGAAGGGCGGCCAGATCCGGATCAACGGCTGCCCAATCACGACGGTGAAACCGGACATCCTGCGCGTCAAGGTCTACGAGCCTCTGTTGCTCCTTGGGGCCGACAAGTGGAAGAAGGTCCAGGGAGAGGAGGGAGGAGGAGGAGGAGGAGGAGGAGGAGGAGGAGGAGAAGGAGGAGGAGAAGAGCAGGAGGAGGAGGCATGATATTATCAACAATACTCATCATCATAACACTACCGATCATGCGAATAATGACAGATATTTCTATTGGTACGAATACTACCAGTAGGAGTACTTATGATATTGATACTAAGCATACTAATACAAACACTCATGTTCATACGGTTAATATGAATGAGAGTAGTGATGATACAATGAAAGATAATACCATGTTAATATTTCTACTAGTAGCAATCATACTGAGCATACTATTTTTGCTAATCGTAGAACTAGCACGACTACTCGTAATATCAATGCTGTTATTACGAATAGTATTAGTGCTACTACTATTGACGATAACTATAGCATTACGAATAGTAGTATTATTAATCGTAGTAACACTGTCATTGGTATTACGACTACCAATACAACTACTAATCATACTACTAGTACTGCCCATACGAATACTGTTCTTTGTGACGCTTATACGAGTAACACAAAGCAAGCATCGTAATATGACTAGTAGGGTGAATCGTAATACTAATGATGATAGCGAGTTATAATAATCATACTACTACACATAATCTTACTACTCCTACTGCTACATCTAGTAACGACAGTAATACTAATACTAAGATTTTCTTTTATTACTACTACTACTGCTACTACTTTTTCTTTTACTTTCACTACTACTACTACTACCACCACTACTACTACTTACATTCTTATTTTATGTAAGAGTAATACTACGAACACGATTACTAATCCTACAAGCAGTACGAACAATACGACCTAGTGCTACTATCATGAATGCACGTCATACTTGTATCATAGAGAGTAAGAAGAACATTGCGAATCATATGAATCGTAGCCGTAATGATGCTAATATGAATATGATACATAAGAAGAATAGCGCTGATATTGCTAGGGGTAATATGAAACATACGGATCATATGACTAATGCTAATAATACTAATACTAATCACACGAGCAGTGATATGAAAAGCATGAACAATAATACTTATTATAAACGTATGAGGAGGGTGAGGACGAGAAGGAGGAGGCGGCGGTGGAGGAGGAGGAGGAAGATGCAGAGTTGGAGGAGGAGGAGCAAGAGGAGGAGGAGGAGGAGGGAGGAGGAGGAATCTGAGGAGGAGGAGGAAGATGAGGAGGAGTAGGAGTAGGAAAAGGAGGAGGAGGAGGAGGAGTTGAAGGAGGGAGGATATGGAGGAGGAGGAGGAGGAGGAAGAGGAGGAGAATGAGGGGGAGGGGGAGGAGGAGGAGGGTTTGGCGAGGAGGGGGACGGGGAGGTGGACATCCGGCTGCGCGTGAAGGGCGGCGGCTACACCTCCCAGATTTACGCGCTCCGACAGGCCTCGAAGGAAAAGAACGGCATACATCGGAGCTCCGCGCGGATTGCTTTGATCGGCGCTGGGCTCCCTCCTGCGACGCCTCTGGCGTCGCCCCTGGCGCGGGGTCCAGCTTCGATTCAAGCAATCCGCGCGGACCTCTGACATCTTTTTTAATGTTCTTTTTCCCCAAACAATGCCTGCATTTAGGGTATTCGATTTCTGCTCTAAGTTACTGGGCCTGTCTGCCTCTCTAGCGGCTACGTTGTCGCCGTCGCCGCACTGTCGCCGCCTTGTCGCCGCCCGTCGTCTGGGCCGGTCTGCCATTCTGGCGGCTTTGTTGTCGCCGTCGCTGCCCCGTTGTCGCCTCGACGCCGCCAGTCGTCTCGGTCTGTCTGCCGCTCTGGCGGCTACGTTGTCGCCGTCGCCGCCCCGTCGCCGCCTCGATGGCGCCTCGTCGCCGCCACATAGGTCGCTCAACATAGATTGCACGACAGAGATTGAACCACATAGACTGTGCCACATGTCTTGCATCACATATGTTGCACCACATCTATTGCACGACATAGATTGCATAATGTAGATAGCACCACGTCTATTGCACCACATAAACTGCACGACATATATTGCACAATACAGTTTGCACCACACCGTTTACCCCACATAGGTTGTTCCACGTAGATTGTACCACACATATCCCACCACGTAGATGACGCAATGTACATGCCACACCATATATATACTGCACCATATCGATTGCACAATAAACGTTACAATACATACATTGTCCCACACCTACTGCACAACATATGTTGTACAGTGTAGACTACACCACATGTGTTGTAGAGCATAGATCGCCCCGCATGCATTGCTCCATATAGTTTGCACAAAATCTATTGCACCACATATACTGCACACCCCATATTGCTCACAATAGGTTGCACAACATATTTGTACACTATATTTTGCCCTACGTAGATCAAACCACAGATATTGCACCACCCACCTAGGTTGCTCCACATCGATTGTACATACTATTTCTATATACATGTGCATGCACGTATGCATGTATGTATGTATGCGTGCACACATATATATATATATATACATACAGAAAGGAACCCTGTGCGGGCTGGTTTTCGGAGATCCGTGGGGCCGTCCGCGATGCCTTTGGACTTGAATCCAAAAAGACGTTCTCAGAGAACTCTCGGTGGGATGAGGCGGGAGGGGTCTTCGGTACAGCGCGTGAGAAACAATAAGAAACGCATCACACCCAAACAGATCCCCACAGCTCGTGTACGGAATTCTGTAGGCACGAATACGAAGACCAAAAAAACACAAGGAAAACCAAAAAACCAAAAAACCAATCCCTGGGGAGGTCCTGTGGAAAATCTCCATAGAAATTGGTTGGGTTTTGGTTTTGGTTTTCCTTTGGTTTCTGTAGGTTCTGAGCTGAAAAACAAAAAACACAAGGAAAACCAAACAACCCAAAAAACAATCCCTGGGGAGGTCCTGGGGAAATCTCTCGAGTGTTTTTTTTTGTTTTCCTTAGGTTTTTTTTTGGTTCTGAGCTGAAGAAGCCCAACACACACAACAAAACATTTTCTGTTTTTGATATGAAGAACAAAACAAACACAATGTTTTTTTTTTTTTTTTTTTTGAATGGGGGAAACACATTATGTTTTTTTGGGTTTCTGGAGTGAACAAAAATCAAAAAAGAAACTTTTTTTTTTTTTTTTTGGGGGGGGGGGGGGGGTGAAATGAAAAAAACAAAAACCCAAGGAAAGTCAAACAAACACCAAACCAAACCGATTTCTATGGAGATATCCCCAGTTTTTTTTGTTTTTTTTTTGGGGGGGGGTTCCATATTTTTTGTTGGTTTTCAGCTCAGAATCAAACAACAACTTAAGGAACATCATAAAACCAAACCAAACCGATTTCTGTGGAGATTCCCCAGGATTTTTTTTTTTTTTTTTTTTTTTTTTTTTTTTTTTTTATATATATAAAAAAAATATTTATTATTTATTTATATATATATATATGAAAAAACATATATATTATATATATATATATATAATATATATATATATATATATATATTATTAATATCTCAAAATACATCATAATGATTCAGACCTTGGGGTAATTATTTCAGTTGACCCATTGCGTCAGGTCCCAGAAAGCATTTACTTCTTCCCCCCACACACAAGCCTTTCGAGTGACCATTACATAAGCATTTTCCGTCAGCTTTTTCCTCAAGCTGAAATCTTTACGCGGCCAGTGATAATTCTACACAGCGGAAAGATATTTGTATCGTTTGCAGAATCGTTCAAAAAACCTTCAAATGTTACAGGCGTTGGTGCTTTCAGGGCAGTACACATTCTTCTTTGGCTATTTATTGCATGTGATGTTGAGATCGACGTGCCGGGCGACATGCTATACGAATTCGCAGGGCCAAATGTCAGACTGATGGAACAGATGTGTCAATATGCTGGTTTCTCTTATAAGCAGCTATATAAAATGATAAAGGAAGAGCTACCGCAGATGGAACCAGTCGAATATGAAGTATGGACGTGCAAAGTTGTCAACTTTATTTTTCTCTTGAATATGGAGAAACAACCAAGCTTGTGTTATCGCTCATTGGAAAAGGAAGAATTGGTTAAGCCAGAAAGGCGGCTAACCAAAACATAGAATATTGAGTATATTACGATTGCAACATATATGATATTGTTGTCACGCAATTTGACTTGTGCACTTGAGACTTTGCTGATGCGTTGACAGAGCGCTGTGTAAAAAGAGAGTGCGCTCATTTAACATATCTTATATGCAGATGGCTGATGCCTATCCGCCAACCCTCAGATTCTTAGACGTTCTGCTTTTAAAGGAAATCTGTGTTTTTATATTTGAAACCTGAGGATTATGAAGAAACTGCCTTTCAACTCAAACTGCAAATTGTATAGCATTTCCTATTGGAAAAGGTAAACAAGAAGATCATTAAACGCATATTATTTTTATCTGGATCTTCTGTTTTTAATGGAATTCTGTGTTTTTCTATTTGAAACCTGAAAAGTATGAAGAACATGCTTTTCAAATCAAAGTGCAAATTATATAGGACATCCGATTGAAAATGGTAAACAAGAAAAGCATTAACAACTATTTGTTTGTATCTTGATCTTTTGTTTTTAATGGAAATCTGTGTTTTCTATTTGAAACCTGAGAATTATGAAGAGACTGCGTTTCATTATCGGTTCTCTAAGTGCTAATTATGTAGCAGATCCTAATGGAAATGGCAAGCAATAACATCGTTTAAAACATTTTTTTTTGTATCTGGATCTTTTGGTTTTAATGGAACTCTGTGTTTTCTGTTTGAAACCTGAGAATTATGAAGGGAATGCCTGCCATTCTCGGCTCTCTAAGTGTGAATTATATAGCACTTCCTAATGGAAATGATAAACAAGACAATTTTTGAAAACATAAGATTTGTGTCTTATTTCTTTTGTTTTGATGCAAATGATTGGTTTTCTGTTTGAAACCACATAATAGTGGTAAAAACGCAAAACTTTATCGATTCTCTAAGTGCGACTTATATGGCATTTCCTTAATGTTAGCACGATCGAAAAAAACATGGAAACCGATTGTTGTTTAATGTGTTTTGCGATGTAATTGATTTTTTTTTTCTCTGCCGTGCGCTGTGCAAAAAATAGCAAAACACAGGGTGTTTTGATAGGTCTCTATACAAAGTGATATTTTCACCTTGGTGAAGCGTTAAGTTTTGATAATGTGCGGGCTGCGAAAACCAGCCCGCGCAGCGTTCCCCTGTCCATATATATATATATATACATATATGTATGCGTGTATGCATGCATTTATGTATGCATGCATGTATGCATGCATGTATGTATGCGAGTATGCATGTATGCACGTATGTATGCATGTATGCATGCATGCATGTATGTTTATATACATATGTGCGCGTGCATGTGCGCATACATGTATATACATATACACTACGTAGACTGCACCACATGTATTGCACCACATATGCATTGCACCACTTGTACTGCACACCATGCATTGCTGCATGTAGATTGGAAAGCAATTAATTGCACCACATATATTGGCCAACGCATATTACTATAAACACACTGTTTGGGCCCACGCTGGCTATCATTTGCTCCTCCAAGGCTATTGCGAAGGGGATCGTGGCGTACTATCAGAAGTACATCGATGAGGCCTCCAAGAAGGAGATCAAGGATGTCCTCATGGCCTACGACCGCTCGCTGATCGTGGCGGACCCGCGGCGCTGCGAGCCGAAGAAGTTCGGCGGCCGCTCGGCGCGCTCGCGCTTCCAGAAGTCCTACCGCTGAGAGCGGCCCGTGCGACGGGGCGGAGGAGTCGGAGGGCGCCGACTGCACACCTGCCCGGGGCTTCTTTCGGCCTCTCCGATCCGACTCGATTCGACCCCGATGGCTTCCGATTCCGGCCTCGACTCGATTGCGGATTCCGACTCTGGGCTCGCCGACCCTGGCCTGCCGGTCCTGGGCCACGGAGGCTCGGTGTGCGGTGCCTCCTGGCCGAGCCACGGACGGCGTGTGCACCGCTTCCTTGGCGTTGGACGTGCCCAGCCAGGATCGGAGAAGGAGGAGGAGGAGGAGGAGGAGGAGGAGGAGGAGGAGGAGGAGGAAGGAGGAGGAGGAGGAGGAGGAGGAGAGGAGGAGGAGGAGGAGGAGGGAGGAGGAGGAGGAGGAGGAGGGAGGAGGAGGAGGAGGAGGAGGAGGAGGAGAGGAGGAGGAGGAGGAGGAGGAGGAGAGGAGGAGGAGGAGGAGGAGGAGGAGTGGGTGTGCAGTTGGCGCCCGTCTAAGCAGGAGGTCGTGGTGGGGAAGGCGGTATCTCAGTGGACGAAGGGCGGTATAACACAATCGTTTCCGCCGTTGGGGCCGTCCTTCCTATGGCGGCTGGTAAGTTTGCACTCCCGCGTGCCACAGTGGGGGTGTGAACTTCTAGCCGCTTTGGGACAGGCGACCCCGATGGTGGAGAAGTTCATTTCGTGCCTTTCTCCTCAGAGCTCAAGCGCCGTGTTTTTTCACAACGTCGACCTCCAGCGATCGCGACCCCTTCCCCGGGGCCGGCTTCTCATCCCGAGTCAGTTCTGACGGTCCTGGGGCCCAGTGAGGGGCCCTGGAGGTTGACATTTGACATCTTTCGTAATATTATAATATATATCTATATATATATATATATAGATATATATAATTTTTGTTAGAAACCAAAACATAATCGTACGTATGCATGTTTTTGTTGTTTTTTTTTTTTTTTTTTTTTTTTTTTTTTTTTTTTTTTTTTTTGTTTTTTTTTTTTTTTTTTTTTTTTTTTTTTTTATATATATATATCTATATATATATATATATATATATATATGTTATAATATATATATGTGTGAACATATATATATATATAGATATATATATGTAGTATATATGTTGAATTTCCCAGCCATCGGTTTTTCTTTTCTCCTGCGGCCCCTCGATCTCCTCGGCCCCTCTGAATTTGACCCATCTGAGATTGAAAACTTGCCCGTCTGGAATTGAAAATTAGCCCGTCGCTTCTCGAACTTGTCTCTTCCTCCCCACGTCTTCGACCTACCGCACACACTTCTGGTGCACCGCTCTCCGGGTGCCTGAGGCCGTGCCTCTTCCGCCGCCGCCCTCCTCTTCCCCCGGTCGTCGTTTGAGGTCGGGCGCGCCCCTCTAACAGGAGGGACGCTCGACACTTATAAAGAAGCAGTCCGGGGACGATTTCCGGAGTATTTTTTTTGACCGTGTTTGAGTGTTCGTCGAGTATGTTTCCTCCCGCCCGAGACCGGCCTGTGGGGGGGACGTGCCCGACATAGTCGTAGGTGTGTGCCCCTGCTTCTGGCGCGGCCCGCCGGCTGCTCCGTAGTGAGCGAAGTCGTGGGGGGCGGCAAACGAGGGGGCAGCGAGGGCTGCAGGAAAGGGGTCCTCCAGGGCCCCAGAGGTGGCCTTCCTATTGTATTTTTAATACGAAACAATGCAATTCATATATGCATTTCCGAATTATATATATATATAATCTTCGTATATTCTTGTTGTTGTTCTGAGGGTTTGCATAATCTTTACAAATTAACCTTTCGAATGCGTTGGCGCCCGCCCTCGCTGCTGGCCACGCTTTTCCCCACGGCGAGGAGGAGGTGGGTCTTCGTCCGCTGCGGGCCAGCGGCGAGCGCCCCCCCGCGCTCCCAGAGGCCCCGCCCGGCGCGGGTCCACCCGCGCGAGCCCTTCCGCCCCCCGGGGCGGGCCCGAGGCGGTGGTGTGCATTCTCCGGCGCCAGCTCAGAAAGGGGTATCTGGGCTTCTCGGACACGATCCCTGAGATCCAGCGCATGGACAAAAATCAAGACGGAGGTCTTTCGCTATTTTCAGCCTCGGGGGGCCCTTGCCGGGCCTCGGGACCGTCAAGAAACGATTCAGGAGGAAAAACCTGGGGAAGGGGTCGAGACCTCCAGGGACCCCGTAGTGACAAAATCACGACATCGGATCTCTGGGATCGCGTCGCAAAAAAATCACGACGGGAGTTTTTCCGGCCATTTTCGGCCTGCGGGGGCCCTCGCCGGGCTCTGGGACCGTCAAACAACGACGCAGGATGAAACACTGGTCCCGGGGAAGGGATCGGGATTTCCGGGGGCGCCGTATTTCGCAACTCAGGCCGTCGCATGCCTGGGAGATTGACCTTTCTCGCCGGAGTGACCTGTTTGAGGCAGGCTCCATGGGGTCCCCCCGATCGCTGAACTCGAAGCGGCAGCAGCGGTTTGCGCGCCCAGGTCTGGCCACCCCGCGGACCCCGCTAAGCCGCGCACCAGAAGTCATTCTTGCCCAGGGTCCTTCTTGCGTGTACGAGCACATGGCACCTCGCCACCAAGAGATGGCTAGTCGCAGAGACAGTATCGAACAGCAAAAAGCATGGCCCTTCGGAGTTCCGCGCGCGTTTCTGGGATCGGCGCTGGATCCCCATGGCGGCGCCTCTGGCGCCGATCCGAGATGTCCGCGCGGACCTCCAGAAATTCATGGTTGTATGCAGCTTTTTCTCCTCTAATGGACATCTCAAGCAGCACTTTAGATGTTATTGATGCGGCAGTCCACGTAGGCCTGGGGATACGGATGATGCAGGAGACGCGTCATGTCACCCCTCATGCAGTTTCATCAGTCACCAGAGCCGCCTTGCCCGGATCCCTCGCCATCGGAGCCAATTTCGTGAGCACTGATGTTCGAGCTCTTCCCGTGCTTGGCCTTTGCCCCCGGCGTCGCGGCAGCGGCGACATCATCATCCGTATCACCATCCTCATCGGGGCCCTTGGGTCCTTCGCGTGGGTGGTCAGACAAGCCGGGCCGCCTCATGAGGTGGTGCTCTATGGCTTCAGGGAGTGGCCAACTGCACCAGACGCCCTGTGGGCTGAGGCACAGGGGTACTCTTTCTTGTCAAATCTGCACGCGGGTGGGGCCGCGAGAGTCTCCAGGGGCTCTTGGATATTCTGGTTCGCGCGGAAGAGTAGAATCCACCTTGGGCGTACAGGCCAGTGTAGTGTAGTTGTCATCGAGCTCTCTGGCAGGCCAGTAGCAATGCAGTCTTCATGGGCAGAGCACTGTCGAAATACAGACATAGATAATATCGGGGCCCTTGGGCGTACCCTTGCAGCCATCACCGACCTGTTTGGCATCGCTCTCCAGCGCGGGTCGCGCGAGGCGACGCTCGTGTCTCCGCTCGTGAACGGGCCTCGCAGGAGCAGGTCTTCCCCCGCAGCGCTCCCACGGCCGCTGCGCTCCCCCTTTCCCCGCCCGCGTCTCCAGATGTCGGCAAGGCGCCATCCAGTTGTGCAGGGCGATCAATGGAGAGGAAGCATGTTGCCAAATAATTCCCAGATGTCTAAAACATGTGTTAAAGCTGTTTTAAACATATAAAACACAGGTTTGAACATTTCCAGGGCATTTTCCGACATTTTAAACACCTGTTTATTTCGATGATAGGACTGTTAGGGTGTCCATTGTCGTGGCATCCACAGCCATCCAGCGCCAAACGAAGAGGCAGGTGTTGTAAGGGCCCCCCCAGGGGCCGACAAAACGAAACCGCCCGTCGCGATGCTTCCACGACGGGAGGAGGTGGGGGCCCATCCTGCTCGTTGGCCTCGCCGTGCCCGTCCCCCTCCCATTCTGCATGCGCTGTAGCTGTTTTGGCACAGGCTGTGTTGTTAAGCCCCCCCCCATCCCCCACGCCAATCGCCGCCGGGGTCCCGTTGGAGCAATGGCTGCCCAGCAGGCGTGCGTTTGCGGGCAAAAGGGGGCGCAGTGCAGTGGAGAGGGCAGTCTCATGGCAGTCCCTCCCCTCTTCGCTTTCCCCACTCCCCGCTTTCGCCGCTACCCCTTCCGCTCCTCTTCCCCTTCCCCTTCCCGTGTCTTCCTTCCCCCTTCCTCTTCCTCCTCCCTGCTCCCCCTCAGGCCTCCTCCTAGTTGAGCGCGGGACGAGACGGAGGGAGAGAGGGAGGGAGGAGGGAGGAGGAGGAGGAGGATGAGGAGGAGGATGAGGAGGAGGAGGAGGAGGAGTAATATGATGATGCTGCTGATGATGACGATGACGATGACGATGACGATGACGACGACGATGAGGATGATGATGATGATGATGATGATGATGATGATGATGATGATGATGATGATGATGATGATACTGATCATGATGATGATGATTATGATGATGAAGATCATTGCTTGCACGGTTTGTTCGGTGCAGTCGTCGGAATGCTGAAGAAGACGAAGATGATTATGCTGATGTTGTTGATGATGCTGTGATGATTATGATTTTGATAAGGGTGATACTGGTTGCATGTAATGATGTCGATGCTGCTAATGGTGTGGATGATGATCGTAATGATGATGGTGATGTCGATAATGATGATGGCGATGTTGATGAGGACGATGCTGACGATGCTGCGAATGATGATGCTGGTGATGATGGTGATGATGGTGCTGAGGTTATTGTTGTTGTTGCCGTCGATGTTGTTGTGGTGGTTGATGTTGTTGTTGTAGCTGCTGTTGTGGGTGTCGTTGTTGGTGTTGTCATTGTTGTTGATGTTATTGTTGTTGTTGCTGTTGTCGTTGTTGTTGTTGTTGTTGTTGATGTTGTTATCGTTGTTGTTGTTAATGTTGTGGTTGTTTTGGTTGTTGCTGTTAGTGTTGTTAATGTTGTTACTTTTGTTGCTACTGCTGTTGCTGCTGTTGTTGTGGCTGTTGTTTACTGTTAGTGTTGTTACTGTTGTTCTCATTTTTCAAGAATAAGTATAGGTGATTCCTTCCTCTGGT